TGGATTCCTTTTCTGATTCACACACTGCTGGTTGCCCAGCAACTTACAGTGTTGCGACTGAGGCACAACTCGTCTGATTATTTGCAGAGGCCGCTGTGTCTCTGGGGTAGAACACCTCTAGAGGTGGAGAGCAGGTGTATCTGGGGAAGAGGAGGGCCAAGCCACAGGCAGAAGGTGAAGTGTGTTCGGAGCCGGACACTGAGTCAGAGGGTGGCTCTGCTTCATTGACTGAATCTTCTCGCATGGATGAATGTAGCCGATGAGCTGAGTGATGGTGCAATGGCTCCAATGAGACTGCGCGTGGCGTCCTGACCGTCTCTTCTCTTAGCTGCACTCTGTTCCTGTGGGTGTGAGGTGGTACCTCGTTGTGGCTTCAGTTGGTATTTCCCTGGTGACAAAGGATTCTGGGTATTTTTCATGTACTCTTTGGCCACCTGATGTTTTCCTTTGGGTAGTGTCTGTTCAAACCTTTTCACTCATGTTCCAAGTTGAATTGTTGGTTTGTTTATAATTCTGTTCTGAGGACCTAAGAATATTCTGGATATAGGTCCTTTGTCAGACAGGTTAGTTTCTCTCAGTCTGTTGTTTGTCTTTTCCTTTTTCTTAACTTTCTCTCTGGAAGAGCAGCAGTTCTTAATGCTCTTAATTTTATGCAGTCCAGTTTATCATTTTTTCTTTTATGGTTCATGCTTCTTTTATTCTGTCTCAGGAGAGCTTTACCCATCCCAAGGTCATAAAGTTTTGCTCTTGTAATTTTATTTTAGAAGTTTCAGAGTTTTACATTTAGGTTTATGATTCATTGATGCAATTTAACAAAAAAAAATTCTTTAATTGATTTTTTTAAAGAGCAGAATGGAGAGGGAGAGAGAGAAAAAAAATCAACGTGAGAGTGATTAATGGGGGAAACCAGCAACCGTATAGGAGCACGTACAGGAGGCAGCCAGCAGCTCTCGCTTTCACTAGCCAAGTGGAGTGAGGTGGTGACTCCGAACATTTAGCCTTCTGTGCGTTTTACAGAAATCACATATCCTCACACTTTCCCCCAAGGGACTGGGAGAAAAGCAAAAACCCAGCACTGAGGTACTGAGAGCATTCGGCTCAGCCTCCGAGCTCAGTCCCTGTTTGCTGTTTCGTGGACATGCCCTCTGCGGAGAAGAAAACAGAATGAATAAACGACAGGCACAGGTGACGGAATGAATGTTGGTATCCTCACTCTCTCCCCACAAGGGACTGGGAGAAAAGCCAACAACCAGCAGCCTGTCAGAACCAGCAACCTTTTCGTGCGCAGAACGACGCCCAACCAACTGAGGCACACCAGCCGGGGCTCAGGTTAATTTTTGTATACATGCAGGATAAGATTTTTTTATTTGTGTGTTTTTTGCATATGGATGTACAGTTGTTTCAGTACCATGCATTAAAAAGATGACCCTTCTTTTCAAGTGAATTGCCTTGGCACTTCTGTTGAAAATCAGTCAAACATATATTTGTGGCTCTGTTTCTGGACCCTGTTCTGTTTTAGTAATCTGTGTCTTACTGTACTCTAGTATCACACTTTCTTCATTACTGCAGCTTTGTAATAAGTCTTGAAAGATAACTCTTCCAATTTCCCACTCCCCCCCAAAAAATTGTCTTTTCTATTTCTGTATATGTTTTAGAACTAGCTTCTCAAGTTCTAAAAAAAAAAAGCCTTCTAGGATTTTGATTGGAATTACATTGAACTTATAGATTAATTTGGAGAGAATTGACATCTTAGTAATATTGAGTCTTCTAATCCATGAACATGGTATATCTCCTCAGTTATTTTGAGCTCCTTTAATTTTCAACTCCGGAGTCTTTTGTAGTTTTCAGTGTACAGGTCTGGCACATATTTTGTTTAATCTGTCCCTAAATGTTTCAGGTCTATTAAAATGGCATTTCTAGGAGTATCAGACTCCAAATATTTGTGGCTAATATGTAGCCATACACCCAGTTTTTGAATATTGACCTTGTATTTTGGGACCTTGCTGAACTCCCATACTCGTTCTGGTACTTTTTTGGTAGATTCCTTAGTATCTCCATCATTGTGTGCAGTGTGTTCCAGCAAGAAACAAAGGCACGTTCACTTTTCCTGTGAATGGCTAGCGATCGACTTCCTAGTGCTGTGGCCAATTCAAAAGGGCCAGCAGTTATGTAACTAAAAAAATTTAGATTTTGGTTCTACCTAAATTGTATTTAATTAGCCTGAAATCTTTGAAAAAGGTAAAAACTAAATTCTTGAAGTTCAAGTGTGTTTTGTTTTTTTTTTAACATTAATTAGAAGGTTTTTATGAATCTCACTGGGGTGAAAATTGATAGCAGTTGTTTTTTGTTTTCAATAGAACTAATTGGCTTCAAAAATTTCAAAGAGCTAGGTGGATTTGGGACTGGGGTTGGGTAACACTACTTATGTCAACCTATTTGCCTTGATATATATGATCCAAACCTCTTTTGTCAACAGAATATCTACACCGCCTTAGTGGTCATTAGTAGACTTAAGCCAAGGAGCAGGGATCCTTTTCCCTACTCAGGGCATCCGCTACTTACACAGCTCTTAAGTCATTGTAACTTGAGTGCATTTGAGAGGACATTCCAGGCAGATTTGCATCAAACAGGTAGTAATGCTGATGTTTCTTGAAACCAGAACTTTATTCTATTATCCAGGGATAACGGGTGTGGGAGAGCCTAAATGTTTCCTTTGTGTGCTTGGTTTTGGTGGCTTAAAGTTGCATTCGACTATCGTGAATGTAAATACTTATGGGTAGTATACGGTTATATTTCTTAAGAGGCTTCAGGCCTCATTTTATATCTTTTAGATTCTGTTTGTCCTGAGTAACTTGGCTCTGCGGAAGTCCTGAAAGATTATGTGGAAGAAGTATAAGAGAAAAGTGCGTTGCTTTCATCAATTTTTTTTTTGCATTTGTGCATCAAAATATTACTTTTAAAAACATAATTGGAAATATTACTTTCGTAATTAGTAGATATAGTAAAATACATATATATATATGTGTGTGTATATATGTGTGTGTGTGTGTGTGTGTGTATGTGTAAGTGACCATTATGACCGAGTGACCAGAAGGCTGGCTGACCAGTAGCTATGACCTGCACTGACCACCAGGGGGCAGACACTCAACATGGGAGCTGCCCTCTGGTGGTCAGTGCGCTCCCACAGTCAACTTCCCATGGCCAGCCAACTCCCGTGGCCCCTACCACCCCCCCCTTGGCTGGCTGGCCCCGATTGGCCCCATTTGGTTCCGATCACCAGTCAGCCCGAATTCATGCACTGGGCCTCTAGTGATAATATAATTCTTTGAGAATCTGCTACCAACTGGTGTGCAAGTAAGAGGAGATATTCTACTTGGCCAGTCAGGTGGACCACATGCCAAAGGGAAGTGCATTGGAGTTGTTGGACTGAATTTCCTTAGCGCTTGTCATGCCTCACACTCTGCGGTAGTTGTGTGCACGCCCACCGGCCTTACGTCCTCTGTCCACTGTGGCACTGTTTGTGAGACACAGATATTTCTTAGATGAATGATGGATAACTCACTCCAGAGAGGACTCCCTGCTCTGTTCGGTCCCGCCCTCTGGTTTCACTCTGGTTTTCACTGACTCTGAGCGGGGCTCCCATTGCCTACACCGGCTGCGCCGAGTCGCCATCTCACTCTGCTCGGCTAGTGAAAGCACAACTCCGTGCAGACACCCCTGTAATCTAGCTGGTTCACCCGCTTCCCCACGGTGTGTCGTTAGCCTGTGTGGTCCCCTTGTGACAACCAGCGGCCCTGGGGCTGTGAGGAAGGGACTTCAGACCTGTCTGCTCCGTCCCTTCAGAGGGCGGCCCAGCAGCAGAAGAGCGGAATGGCTCTCGCTAGCGGCCAGGTCTGGGGTTGGGGAGTCTCAGTCCGTGCAGGCTGGGAAACAGAATGGCATCGACCGGGCGGCTTGTCAAGGACAGAGTTATTTCTCCTGCCTCTGCAGCCGGGAAGCCGGGACCAGGGTGCCGGCATGGCTGGTTGTGGTGAGGCCGCCTTGTCGCCGTGTCCTCACTGGTGAGGGATCTCCCTGGGTGGTGGCTTTGATAAAGGCCTGACCCCGTTGAGGAGCGCTCACTCACATGACTAACCACCTCCCAACGGTTCCACCTCCAAGGGCCGTCACCTTGGGGATTAGGATTTCAATATCAGCATTTGGGGGGACACCAACACTCATTCCGTTACCTGTGCCTGACACTTATTCATTCTGTCGTCTTCCTCCACAGAGCGCATGTCCAGCAAACGGACTGTGCTCGGAGGCTGAGCCGAATGCTCCCCGTACCTCAGAGCCTGGGTGTTGGCTTTCTCCCCATGGGAGAACCCGTGTCCTTGTGGGGGAACGTGTGAGGACACGCGTTTTCTGTAGAATGCACAGAAGGCCTGAGAGCTGCGGGGGATTTTGGAGAATTTAGGGTAGAAAGTGGGAGAAAGCTCATTTTCTTGCCTCCTGGTTTCTGAGCAGATTATTTTTGTAGTCTAAGACAGCGTTTTTCAACCGCTGTTCCGCGGCACACTAGTGTGCCGCGAGATGTTGCCTGGTGTGCCATAGGTGCAGACAAGACAAGAATTTTATAATTTTTCACTATTTTGTTTACTTAATATTTCATAATAAAGTAATTATAAAATACTTTCTTTGTGTTTATTTGATTCCTATTCAAGAGAATTACTTTATATATAGTCAATATAGGCACAGAGTTAAATTTTTTAACATTTTCTAATGGTGGTGTGCCTCGTGATTTTTTTCATGAAACAAGTGTGCCTTTGCCCAAAAAAGGTTGAAAAACACTGGTCTAAGACACTAGCGTCCTTACTGCCTGTGTATAATAGTCCCAACGTTCAGAACACACGAATGTAGCGTTCAATGGTCCTGACTTAGGAAGTGCTTGTGTGACTTAAGTGCCCTCACCCAGTGCAATGGCGCGTCACCACCCCTCCATTTCCTTCTTTGCGACGCAGGAGATCCGGGGCCCTCTCACGCAGTGGCTGGAGAAGTGCGTGGCCGCTGGAGGAGAGATAAAGTCCAGCAAGCTCTCCCTCAGGCTCGTCGCGTCCCACACGCCCGACATGGAAGTCACCCCAACCGCCCTCCCCGTGGTGACCGACCCGGCGGCCTTCTCCTGCGCGCACTTTGACCTGGAGATCTACCGGCAAAACCTGCAGACAAAGCAGCTGGGGAAAGTGATTCTGTTTGCCGAAGTGACCTCCTCCACCATGAACCTCCTGGAAGGGTAAGTTGACCCGTGCAGATGAGTCCTACTGTGCACGTGAGTCCTACTGTGCGAAGGTTCGTTCCCTCCAGCCAGTGCTGGGAGAAGGGATAGGTGTGTCAAACAAGAACGCTCCATCGTCCTGTCCGGAAGGGAGTGTGGGCCTGTCCCAGGAGACTCCGGGTGCAGGGAGAGAAATGAGGTGCAGCTCTTTGATCACAGGCGTGTGTTCTAAAGAATGGGTGGTTTCGGTGCCTGTGACTCTTTTTTCAATCAGACCTTTCCAGAATGTTCTTGGGGAAAAGCACGCCATGAAAAGACACGTTTAACAGGTGGCATTGCTGTTCAAGCTGTCGGTTCGTCAGACGGTTAGTTTACGTTCTCGGCAGGGGCGTCAGGAGAGCAGTTCGCACGCACGCTCGCTGTGCTCAGCCGAAACCGATCGGAGCTTTGTACTTCGCTGCGCTCCTGCCCAGGGCATTTTTGGAGCCCTCCGTCATCCCATGTGGATGCTCGGAATTTACCAAAAACGTTCCTTTCTGTGCCTTCTGTTTCCCGGACGCTGATTAAAGGTTAAAAAATGGAAACCAGATGAAAGGACTTGTTTACACTCCCTAATTAGTCAGGATTAATTAATGCTCTTATTCTGAGATCGTTTCACAAGTAGGGTTACAGAGGGGGTGAAGAAGAGAAGCATCTTCCTTCAACATGGGACTGAAATGTAAGGAATGTAGGATCCCCCCCAAAACCCAGATTTCCCCGGTTTCAGACACTTCCCCCTGTTTGACCGCATGCTTAGCTGCATAATTCAGTGCATGGAACATATGGGAGTATTTGGCCTCTCTTCTTAATAATAACTTCTGGAATGTGATAGCATTCGGGAATGTGATATCAAACGGGAAAGTTAGGGTTTCTTGACCCTCAGTCATGGAAATGGCAGCCTTAGTGTGAGTACAGAGGATTGGGACAAGCATTCCCAAGGCAGCGGCTTTCACCATTTTCCCTCTCGCGGCACACATAAGCTGATTACCAAAATCTGCAGCACTCAGAGTGTGGTGTGTGCCGATCTGACACAGAACGATGGGTGTGATTTTTATTCATTCACATTGGACGCCTATTGCTGTATTGGCTGTTGTCATTTTCTATTTGACAATCTAAGGCAGTGGTCGGCAAACTCATTAGTCCACAGAACCAAATATCAACATTACAACCATTGAAATTTCTTTTGAGAGCCACATTTTTTAAACTTAAACTTCTTCTAACACCACTTCTTCACAATAGACTTGCATAGGCCGTAGTATTTTGTGGAAGAGCCACACTCAAGGGGCCAAAGAGCTGCATGTGGCTCGAGAGTTGCAGTTTGCCGACCACGGATATAAGTAAGGTGACCAGATGTCCGGCTTTTGGCGGGAGAGTCCCGATTTTCAACAATTTGTCCCATGTCCCGCGGTGTTTTAAAAAAGTCCCAATTAATATAAGGGAAAAGGGGTCCATGTTTAAAAGTTCCTGCAGCACAGCCGTTGAACATCGCTGGTGTAGGGGAAGTGACAGAGTGGGGCACCGTAGGAAAGGGAATATGTAACCGCAGTTCTTGTTTACTGAGCTGTTTGTGTTGTCAGAGGTACTTCCCCCCCAGAGTTCCCATCTCTCCTGCCTTCACTCCCCTCCCACCATCTCCCCTCCCCGCAAGTAGAGAAGACGCGTGTTCTTGCCGATGGAACGGTCCTACTTGCTGTACAAACCTGTGATAACCTCTTGTTGTCACTCAAATGAACAGTCTGTTACATTGAGAGGGTGACCCATTATAATTACATCTTCTAAAGAAGTCAGGACCTGGCCTTGAACACCGGATTTGGGGAAGTAAAATGTGGATGGAGGAACATCGGGACTTCCAGACCTTTTCTGGTGTTCCCGGGAACGAACGTGAAGGTGACTCCGTGCTGGACGTGTGGAAACATCGGGCTAACGGTCTGTGTGCGTGTGTAGCGGGCAGGGCGGTGTCATGATGCCCGTGGCGCCCGCCGGGGTGCGCGGACTGAGGCTCCGGCGGTCGGCCGGGCGCTCGGGTTTCCTTCCGCCCGGAGCCTGAGTTTAGGATGGAAAACAAAACACACGACTTCAGGGCCTGAATGTGGGTAAGCTCTTTTTTGATATCGATCTTTTAATAAAAAAATAAGAATTCTGTCTACACAGCATGGTTCTGTGAACACGCACAGCTGAGCTCCGCGATAGTGGAGCCGGAAGCTTCCGGAGGATTAAGACTTTCTGTTTTTATGAAAGAAAATTTCTTTCACTCTCCCTGGGGCATTTACAGATCTTTTCTGTTCTCCTCCGGCCGCTCTCTGTGGGCGCAGAGGGAAGGGGCTTTGAGGGAGCAGATCCTGAGAGGTGGCTGCTGCCCAGGGGGACAGCCTCTGCGGGACTCACTGTGCCCCAGGCCGAGCGGAGCCGGGAGAAGTCCCTGGGCCGCAGCTTTGTCAAGGGAAGGAACGTGAAGAGGTCCCCTTAGCGCCAGAATGGTCCGCAAAGGAACCACGAGATCGACAAGCGAAACATGACTTACTACTTTGTTTTTTTGTTGTTGAAAGTTTGCCATAGATACTCCTTTTTCCTCATTAACCTCTTCCAGCCTGCTCCATTGTCCGTGTCCATGGGTCACGCAGATATGCATACAAGTTCACTGGTCGGGCTCTTCACACCCCCCCCTCCCCCCCTCGCCTGCTCTCTGAGGTTCACATCTTGGCTTATTACTTTCTAAGCATAAGGCCAAAACCGCTTCTATGCCAAGTGTTGTATTTGATCCTACATAAGCCACTCTTAGGGAATCACAGTGCATTGTGGGAATAACAACTAATAACAGCCAGCATGCAGCGAGAGCTTTTATCTCCCAGACACGACTTTGATGTGCTCACGTGTGCCCGCTGATTTCCTGCATCAGTGTTCCGTGCCGGGTCATGGCTGGAACCGAGTCAGGCGCTGTCATCAGCGTGTGTGGGATGGTCCTGTCTCTGCGTGTTTCTGATGATGGCATGGCATCACGTCCGTGGGCCAGCTCGCCGGGCAGGAGGGCTCTCCAGGCCCCGCACCGGGTTTGCTCCACACGTGTTTCTCTCTGCGTCCGCGGCTTCTGTGGCAGCGGAGTGGCTCTTTCCCATGGACTGCACTGGAAGCGAGATTTAGATTAGAGAGAGATCTTTTTAAAAACACTGAGTGGCCAGACGATGATAATCTCTGAATGCATAATAATCTGGCCACTCAGTGTGTATCCTATATAATAAAAGGCTAATATGCAAATTCTTCCCTCCACCAGGCGTTTGACCAGCAGGCAGGCCAGCCAACCACCCATGTCCCCTCCCCGTGACCGGACCCCATCCATGTACGAATTCATGCACCAGCCCTCTAATAAATACACACACACACACACACACACACACACTGAATGGTCAGATTATTATGTGTTCAGAGATCATAATAATCTGGCCACTCAGTATATATATTTTTTTATTGATTTCAGAGGGGAAGGGAGAGGGAGAGAGAGATAGAAACATCAATTATGAGAGGGAATCACTGATTGGCTGCCTCCTACATGCCCCACATTGGGATTGAGCCCACAACTTGGGCATGTGCCCTGACCGGGAATTGAGCTGCAACCTTCTGGTTCATCGGCCGAAGCTCAACCACAGAGCCACACCAGCCTGGCTGACATAGATCTTTATTATAAGATCTCTAAAATCCCGTTTTCCTGTTTCTACCCCCACCGCTTGGGCCCTGTGCCGCTTGGGTCCTGTGCCTGCTAAGTATGGAGAATGCCCTTCCTAAGAAAGGAGGGAGCGTGTGTGCTGCGTGCTGCTGAGTTGGCGCCCCCTCCTGGCGACCCTCTGAGTGACCCCTTCCCCATGCCCCCCAGCCGCCAGGTTCAGCTCCTACACTCACGCCAGTGGCGTCGTCTCTGGAGTCAGTCCACCTCATGCTTGGCTTCCCTCCTTTCCTGCTGCCTTAATTCCTCAGCATTATTATTTTCCCCAGAGAGCCTGCCTCCTCACTGTGTGCCTGAAGTGGGGCGTCTTCGTCGCTTTGTCATTTGGCTCCAGGGATGTCCACTTCCGTTGCCCTGGGACCCACTGCTCACCTTGCTGGCGGTGCAGGGCATCCCAGGGCTCTCCTCCCACCATTTCCGATGCCTCCGTTTTCCCCATCGGCCTCCTCCGCATCTGCCCTAGACACGGTGTCCATGGTAACGCAGGGGTGTGGGGAGCCCAGCCTTGGTCTCTAAGGACAGGTCTTTGCTCTGGAGTGTATCCTGGGGAGCAGCGGTTCTGCCGCCAGCCTAGACCCCCTTCCCCTCCGCCCTGCACCCGCACCCACATCCACATGTGCACCGGGAAGGCGGTCTCACACCTGCCCTGGCGCCCGCTGCTCAGCCCAGGCTCCGGGGCCCTGCAGGCCTCAGGCTGGTCCGTCAGCGGACAGGGGCGCTCTCGGCCCCTGGCACCCGCAGGACTTGCAGTCCTAGGCGCCGGGGCCCCTATTTGAGAGGTGACACTGGTTTGGTTTTGCTGCTTAGACAGTGTCATTCGAGGGTTTTTCCTACATGACTGTGAGTCTGGGAGGGTGGGGAATGTCTTTGGACACATGGTTTGGAGCTGTCCTACTTTCCTCCGGGACTGCAAACCCCGCTGAGCCGAGGGAGACCCTGGCGCTGGCATTGACGTCTGGAGTGAGCCCAGGGGCGCCTGAGCCACAACTGCCCACCTCCCCCCCGCCCGCCTGCCCATGAGTGATGGCCGAGCCAGTGTCCCCATGGAGGGAGGCAGTGCTGGGGCGTCAGTAGCGCAGGGAAGAGGGGAGTCTCTTGCTGATAACGAAATCCAGGCACTCGGAGGGCCTGGGTCCCTTCCCCCAACAAAAACAAAAAGTCAAAACCGTGTGAGTGATGTTGCCGGGAGTCTGACCTAGACCTCTGGGTGCGACGCTGGTTCTGGACGACGTTAGAGCCTTCTTCTCCTTCCCGCTGTTTCCGG